CCAAACCCTAAACCCTAAACCCCTAACTCTGAGTCTGCAAGGCCACCGGGTCTTGGAAATCAACGTTCGCGACATGCTGGAGGCCAAAACGTCAGCACTGTTGTTCTGTGCAGTGCTTTATGCATCGGGCTTGGGGACTCTCAAGCCCCATCCCTGAACCCTCAAGACCTCAAGACCTCAACATACATAGAAGTTGTATGTCTTCACGATGCACCACGGCCCTTTCCAAACAGAGGCACCAAAAGGCCCGAAAAGGCCCCAAACTAGCCCACAACGATTCCACCACGCAACAAAAGCACCAAAAGGCTGCAAAAAATGCCAGAAAGGCACTAACAAGTTTTTGAAGGCCGCAGGGTTTAGGGTTTAGGGTTTAGGGTTTAGGGTTTAGGGTACCCATATGGCACACCCAACATGACTTCGGTGCTTGGCTGTACTTAGGGTACATCGGGGGAGTCGGCGGGGCCGGCAGGGGGGGGGGGGGGGGGGGTCTTGGGTAAACACCACACTCTGGCTTTCCCAAACCCCGAACCCCGAACCCCAAACCCCAAACTCCACACCCCAAACCCTGAGCCCTAAACCCTAAACCCTAAACTCCTAAACCCTAAAGCCCTGGACCCTAAACCCCATAAGCCCCAGACCCATGTTGCCATAGACCGTCCAGGTTGGTGGTGTGGCGGACGACCACCTCTTCCTGCGCAGTTTCAGCCGGGCGGTGGGTTCCGAGGGCCAAAGGGGTTTTGGGAAGTTTAGGGTTAGGGGGTTTAGGGGTTTAGGTGTTTGGGGTTTGGGGTTTAGGAAGTTTAGGGTTTAGGGTTTAGGGTTTAGGGTTTAGGGTTTAGGGTTTAGGGACCAGATTGTGGCGGAAGGGGCTGAGGGGCTTGCGTTTCGAGGTTTAGGGCTTGAGGGCTTTATGGGCGTGGCGGGTGTAGGGTAGGGGGTGTAGTGGGTTTAGGGTTCAGGGTTTGGGGTTTAGGGTTTTGGGTGTATGGGGTTTGAATTAAGGAGCTGCTTAGACTTAGCCCGCCACCGAAGCCTCCAACCCTCAACCTTCAACCTTCAACCTTAAATAATCGGATGGCACGTCGATTTTCTTAAAATGACCCCCCCCCCCCCCCCGCTAACCCCGACAAACACTTTCAAGCCGTAGGCCGCAACCTCAGAAGTGGACTGTCTGCTTTTTGGGGCAGGGTTTAGGGTTCAGGGTTTAGGGTTGTTAGGGTTTTTAGGGTTTAGGGTTTAGGGTTCCTTGTCCGCCGACCCTGGCGGCGTGTTGGATGGGAAAAGGAGGTGAAAACCTCCCTCTTTCCCTCCTTACCCCCCCAAAACCCCTGGGGGGTCCATGGGGTCATGGGGGTTCAGGGGCATGGGGTCAGGGGATGGGGTCAGGAGGCAGGGACAGGCGTAAGAGCTATGCGACACGAGGTCAGGAGCCATGGTGCATGGGGGCCATGGGAGCTTTTCCGTGGAGGAACAGGCCACCCACACCGCGTAAACTCATGGACCATAGGCGTTTTCGCACAGGGCATAGGGGCTCTTTTGGAAACCCCTGTTCCCTTCCCAACCCCCCCGCCAACCCCCACCCCACCCCACCCGAAACTATGGGCTTTGTTTTTTTTTTCGAGTGACAATATTTGAAGGGGGAAACTATGGTTTGTTTTTTCCCCGAGTGAAGGGGGAAACTATGGGCGTTTTTTCCCGAGTGATCAATATTTTAAGGGGGAAACTATGGGCGTTTTTTTTTCCCGAGTGATCATCATTTGAAGGGGTATGGGCGTATTTTTTCCCGAGTGATCAATATTTGGATGGGGTAACTATGGGCGTTTTTTTTCCCGAGTGATCAATATTTGAAGGGGGAAGCTATGGGCGTTTTTTTTTCTTTCGGGTGATCAATATTTGAAGGGGGAAACTATGGGCGTTTTTTTTCCCGAGTGATCAATATTTGAAGGAGGAAACTAGGGGCGTTTTTTTTTCCCGAGTGGTCAATATTTGAATGGGGAAACTATGGGCGTTTTTTTTCCCGAGTGATCAATATTTGCAGGGGGAAACTATGGGCGTTTTTTTTCCCGAGTGATCAATCTGTGAAGGGGGAAAGTATGGGCGTTTTTTTTCTTTCGAGTGATCAATATTTGAAGGGGGAAACTATGGGCGTCTTTTTTTCTCCGAGTGATCAATATTTGAAGGGAAACTATGGGCATTTTTTCCCGAGTGGTCAATATTTGAAGGGGGAAACTATGGGCGTTTTTTTCCCGAGTGATCAATATTTGACGGGGTATGGGCGTTTTTTTTCCCGAGTGATCAATATTTGAATGGGGAAACTATGGGCGTTTTTTTTCCCGAGTGATCAATATTTGAAGGGGGAAATTATGGGCGTTTTTTTTCCCGAGTGATCAATATTTGAAGGGGGAAACTATGGGCGTTTTTTTCGCGAGTGATCAATATTTGAAGGGGGAAACTATGGGCGTTTTTTTTTCTCCGAGTGATCAATAAAACAAAATCACCAAACCCCAAACCTTAAACTTGTTCTCCTGCGCGGTCGGCGGCTTGAGCCGGAGGCTCTTAAATTTTTCAAGACAAAGTAGTCCCCTTATTTTGGGCGATGAAGCCTTCAAGGGATGTCAGGATTGAACCCTTAAACCCTAAACCCTAAACCCTAAACCCTAAACCCTAAACCCTAAACCCTAAACCCTAAACCCTAAACCCTAAACCCTAAACCCTAAACCCTAAACCCTAAACCCTAAACCCTAAACCCTAAACCCTAAACCCTAAACCCACAACCCTAAACCCTAAACCCTAAACCCTAAACCCTAAACCCTAAACCCTAAACCCTAAACCCTAAACCCTAAACCCTAAACCCTAAACCCTAAACCCTAAACCCTAAACCCTAAACCCTACCCAAGCTGAGGCTACTGGCCTGCGCAGGGAATGGACCGCCAGCTCTCAGCGGCTTCTTGGTGGCCACCCATCTTCCCGACGACCTATGGCTTAGGGCTTTAGGGCCTTAGCACCTTAGGATTTAGGGTTCAGGGTTTAGGGTTAGGGGTGTAGGGTTTAGGGTTTAGGGTTTAGGGCCTTAGGGTTTTCAGGATGTAGAGTTGAAAGTGCAGCCCTAAACCCGAAATCCTAAACCCTAAATCCCAAGCCCCAAACTCCAAACCCCATAGTGTGGCCTGTGTATGACCTACGGGTTCTTCGCGGGGATGAGGGAAATAGGTATTCCTTAGAATCCCTCAAAGGGCATATATAGAGGGGATATAAGGTCGCGCATTCCCTCACTCCTTATTAAGAACAAGCAGGATGAGGTAAACCCTAAACCCTAAACCCTGGTTCTGGGGGCTCAAACAGAGAAACCAAATGGCGCAAAGTGCCCAGGTTTAGGGTTTAAACCCTAAACCCTAAACCCTAAACCCAAACCCTAAACCCTAAACCCTAAACCCTAAACCCTAAACCCTAAACCCTAAACCCTAAACCCTAAACCCTAAACCCTAAACCCTAAACCCGAAACCCTAAACCCTAAACCCTAAACCCTAAACCCTAAACCCTAAACAAGGAGATCAACCCAGACTTCTTCAAGTACTTATACTCTTTCGTTTGGCGATGCCAGCTCGATGTGGAATCAAGACTTCATGCCATGTCTTCGTCCTTCCGCATGTGAAACATTTCCTAAACCCTAAACCCTAAACCCTAAACCCCAATCCCTAAACCCTAAACCCTAAACCCTAAACCCTAAACCCTAAACCCCTGACACGTGAACCCAAGACCCCAATTTCCTTCGGCCCCAAACTCCTCTCAAGTCGACTTAGGGACTTGCTGTTCTTGCTTCTTTGCAAACCCAAGAGAACAGACCCTGCCCCTGAACCCTAAACCCTAAACCCTAAACCCTAAGCCCTAAACCCTAAACCCTAAACCCTAAACCCTAAACCCTAAACCCTAAACCCTAAACCCTAAACCCTAAACCCTAAACCCTAAACCCTAAACCCTAAACCCTAAACCTAGATCTTGGACCTCATGCTGCCGGGCTCAGGCAGGCCTTATGATTGAACCACTTGGGGTTTCGGGCTTTAGGGTTTAGGGTTTAGGGCTTAGGGTTTAGGGTTTAGGGTTGGGGGCTTGCGAGGATGCGCTTGCGGAGCACGCGAACTATAAACTATGACCTTCAAGAAGGTAGCTACAGCCATACTGAGTTTTTATGAGTTTCTCGTTTCATGGCAAAGGATTCCTTAGGCTAGTCCTAGCTTGGGCTTCAGGGATTTGAGGGCTTGAGGGCAGGGATGTGAGGGCTTGGGGGCTGTGAACTCGGGCCCCACTCAAGTAGACCCAAAGAGGGGTCCGCTTTGGGTTGTCGGGTTGAGGGCACAGGGAAGGGTTTAGGGTTTATGGTTTATGGTTCACCTAAACCCGAAACCCTAAACCCTAAACCCTAAACCCTAAACCCTAAACCCTAAACCCTAAACCCTAAACCCTAAACCCTAAACCCTAAACCCTAAACCCCAAACCCCAAGCCCTAAATCCCCACTTATGGTGTCAGTGTGGAATTGGATTCCCCAAACCATGCTATGCAAGGTCTTCGGTGCCTAATTCCAGATTACCATAGGGGCGCATCGCAAAACACCCGCACCATGGTTTGGGGTTTAGGGTTTAGGGTTTAGGGTTTAGGGTTTACGGTTTAGGGTTTAGGGTAGTTCTCATGTTTTAAGTAAGGTCCTTTTTTTTGGTTGCCTTGCAGAATACCACACCCTTATAACTAGGACCACAACTAGGACCCTGAAGTGGATCCCTACGTTCCGGAACCGACCTAAACCCTAAACCCTAAACCCGAAACCCTAAACCCGAAACCCGAAACCGCAAGCCCGAAACCCCAAACCCTAATCCCTAAACCTCAACTCCTAAACCCTAAACCCCAAGCCCGAAACCCCAAACACAAAACCGGTAGCCACCGGGAAGGCAAGCAGCTGAGCCGCGAGAATGAGATCATGGTCGCCGTGCATCGGGTCCTCTTCGCCATGACCCAGGTGGGAACCCTAAACCCTAAACCCTAAACCCCAAACCCCAAACCCTAAACCCTAAACCCTAAACCCGAAACCCAAAACCCTAAACCCGCCTCACGGTGCAAGCTCCGTAGCCCTAAACCTCTAAAGCCCGAAACCCCCAGAAACCTCAAGGAAGCCTTGAATAAATCTGAGAAGCTCACCCTAAACCCCAAACCCTAAACCACCCTAAACCCTAAACCCTAAACCCTAAACCCTAAACCCACCCTAAGCCCTAAACCCTAAACCCTAAACCCTAAACCCTAAACCCTAAACCCTAAACCCTGAACCCTAAACCCTAAACCCTAAACCCTAAACCACCCTAAGCCCTAAACCATAAACCCTAAACCACCCTAAATCCTAAACCCTAAGCCGCCCTAAACCCTAAACCACCCTAAACCCGAAACCACCCTAAACCACCCTAAACCACCCTAAACCACCCTAAACCACCCTAAACCACCCTAAACCCTCCTAAACCCTCCTAAACCCTAAACCCTAACCCTAAACCCTAAACCCTAAACCCTAAACCCTAAACCCTTAAACCCTAAACCCCAAGAAGCCCTTGCCGCCAGGCTCTGCATGACTGGCGTTTTCGCAGTTCAGGCATCTGGGGGCCGAATGTGTGATAGGGGTCGGGTCGATGTTTAACCAGAGTAACCCTAAACCCTGCCCTAAACCCTAAACCCTAAGCCCTAAACCCTAAACCCTCCTAAACCCTCAGCCCTAAAGACGATGTAGGTAAGGGTTTTGAGTCTGAGGTTAGAACTTCGGGGTTAAAGGTAGGGGGCTGATGCTGCGCACCTCTTATAAAGCAGAGCCTTACATGACCCCTCAACCCTACGCCCTAAGTCCTATGCAAAGGAGCCAGAATTGAGAGAGCTGGGTTCAGGGTTAGGGTTTGGGTTTAGGCCCTAGGTATTCCGGGAGCTTGTGTGATCCCCAACCCTCCACTTAAAAACCCAACCTAAGAGCCCTAAACCCTAAACCCTACCCCTAAACCCTAAACCCTAAACCCTAAACCCTAAACCCTAAACCTTAAACCCTAAACCCCAAACCCTAAACCCTAAACCCTAAACCCTAAACCCTAAACCCTAAACCCTAAACCCCTTATATCAGGGCTTTCATACCCCAAGAAGCCCCCAGTTGCGTGCGGGCTTCGATGGAAGGCGCGCTGAACTTCGATGCTACCCCGCTGATTCTGATCACCGGGTTCACCTCTCAGAACAAGGACAAAAGCCCTAAACCCTAAACCCTAAACCCTAAACCCTAAACCCTCAACCCTCAACCCTCAACCCTCAACCCTCAACCCTCAACCCTCAACCCTCAACCCTCAACCCTCAACCCTCAACCCTCAACCCTAAACCCTAAACCCTAAACCCTAAACCCTAAACCCTAAACTCAGGGCCTAGGCCGCCCCCTACAGAGGGGCCCTAAACCCTAAACCCTAAACCATAAACCCTACACCCTAAACCCTAAACCCCTAACCCAAAACCCAAAACCCTAAACCTGAACCCTAAACCCTAAACCCTAAACCCTAAACCCTAAACCCTAAACCCTAAACCCTAAACCCTAAACCCTAAACCCTAAACCCTAAACCCTAAACCCTAAACCCTAAACCCTAAACCCTAAACCCTAACTAGACCCGAAGCCCTAAAGTCATGAGCCCCAAATAGCACAAACATGAGCCCCGAACAACCCGAAGATTCCAGAATCACCCCTAAACAGCCCTAGATAACCCGGAGCTGTGAAGTTTTAGGGCCCTCGAATCCCTAAACCCTAAACCCTAAACCCTAAACCCTGAACCCTGAACCCTAAACCCTAAACCCTAAACTTTTACCCCCCACGCAGGTTTGGAGGGACCTCTGGGCTTTGGGACCTAGGGGCTGGGGTATTTTTGCTGTTCAGGGTTCAGAAGGGCCTCCGCCAACCTAAACCCTAAACCCTAAACCCTAAACCCTAAACCCTAAACCCTAAACCCTAAACCCTAAACCCTAAACCCTAAAGCCTAAACCCTAAACCCTAAACCCTAAACCCTAAACCCTGAACCCTGAACCCTGAACCCCAAACCTGAAACCCTAAACCCTAAACCCTAAACCCCAAACCCGAAACCCTAAACCCCAAACCCTAAACCCCAAACCCAACGTATCCGGATGTCGTTTCGGGCTGAGCCCCTCGCCCTGAGGCCAAAGAGCAGCCTCGGGTGCCGGGGAGGGGTTTAGGGTTTAGGGTTTCGGGTTTGGGGTTTAGGGTTTAGGGTTTAGGGTTTAGGTGGGGGGGGGGGGGGTTGCGCATTTCTGTTTGTTTGCCTGTTTGCCTGGGGGTGGGGGGGGGGTTCCAAGGAACCAAGCCCTGAACTCTCAACCCAAAGGCTAAGAAAGTACAAAGGAAATCGGAATAATTGCGAATAGCATTCCCTTATGGTCTCTGTAGAATTGTTCGATAACAGCCCCCCCCCCCCCAAAACCCTACTGTAATCCTTAAGGCCCTATATCAGGGTCTTTTTAGGGTTTGGGGGCTCTTGGGGGCTTGGTTTAGGCCTTGCTTCCCTAAACCCTAAACCCTCAAACCTCAACCCTAAACCCTCAACCCTCAACCCTAAACCCTAAACCCTAAACCCTAAAGCCTAAACCCTAAACCCTAAACCCTAAACCCTAAATCCTAAACCCTAGCTTTTCCCCGCCATGCTTCGTGTGGATGTAGTCTTCATGAGCGGCCGCAGTGCGGCGGTCGAGCTGCCCGAGTCTTCTTCCGTGGCTTACTGGTGGTTAGTAGCGAATGAGGGGATGAGGTACCCTGTAGAATCTCTTAAAGGGTATATATTTGTGTATATCTGTCGTGGGATATAGGGAACCTCATTCCCAAGCCCTAACCCCTAAACCCAAAACCCAAAACCCAAAACCCTAAACCCTAAACCCTAAACCCCGTTTTCCTACCAAGGTGGATGAGCTGCGACTCCAGGCGCAACAAAAGCTCGACACGCTCAACAGCTGGCTCTTCACCTCCAGCGGGGCCCGGCTCGTAGGCAGTGCCTCCTTACGTGAGGCAGGCCTCAGAACGGGAGACCTCCTGACGATGCACGTGCCGCCGATGCTTGTGGCGGCCTCCATTGGAGCATTTGCAGCTGGGACCGGCGACGGTTCGCTGGTGTGCTGGGGCGACCCCGACTTGGGGGGAGACTGTAGCAGTGTCCGTCAGAGCTTGAAGAATCCGGGGGTAGGTTAGAACAAAGTTTGTGATTTTTGCTACCCTTACATCCCTATATAATCCTTATAAAGCCATAAAAGTTTGATTGTTATGGTGCCCCCAAACCTACCCAAGGAATGTGGAGCACGTCCGATCCTCGAGTGGAGCATTTGCCGCCATCTTGGCCGATGGCACGCTCGTGAGTTGGGGGAATTCAGATCGGGGAGGTGATAGCAGCCGCGTGCAGGAGAAGCTGAGGAATGTGCAGCAGGTCTCCTCCACTCAATCTGCTTTTGCTGCCATTGTGGCCGGTGGCCTTGTGGTGACCTGGGGTAGTGCCTACTTCGGCGGGGATTGCAAAAGCGTCCAGGACCGGCTAATAGAAGTGACGGAGATACAAGCTTCTAATGGGGCCTTCGCCGCAATCCTCGCCAGTGGGTCCGTCGTGACCTGGGGTGATCCTGACAGGGGCGGTAACAGCCAAGCTGTGCAGGCGCAGTTGAGGAATGTATGCCAGATCCAAGCCACGGGATACGCCTTTGCCGCCATCCGGGCTGATGGATGCGTGGTGACCTGGGGCAATGCACACTTTGGAGGGGACAGCAGTGCTGTTCAGGAGAGGCTGAAGAGTGCGAAGCAGATCCAGGGGGCCAACTATGCCTTTGCGGCGGTTCTGGCAGATGGATCCGTGGAGGCGTGGGGGGCCAGCGATCTTGGTGGCGACTGCGCTGCCGTCAAGCAGGAGCTGAAGGGCGTGGCGCAAATCCAGGCCTCCAGCCGAGCCTTCGCGGCCATCCTGGCCGACGGTTCCTTGGTAGGACTTTTACTGCACCTTTATGACTTTATGAGTTTTGGGGTTCCTCTAATTTCATATGAAGGGAGCTAAAAGTTGATTTCTTTATTTGGGGGGATTGAAGAGCCCCTAAACTAAGGTTCGGTGGTGTGCTGGGGCAGTGCGATCCGGGGTGGAGACAGCAGTGGGGTGCAGGACCAACTCAGGAATGTGCAACGGGTCCAAGCTAACCAGGCGGCCTTTGCTGCGATCCGAGTCGATGGATCTGTTGTGACATGGGGCCATCCGGCATATGGTGGAGACAGCCGGAAAGTCCAGGGCCAGCTGACGGCTGTACAGCACATCCAGGCGTCCGAGGTGGCCTTTGCAGCTATTCGAGCCTGTGGGTCTGTGGTCGCTTGGGGTCATGCAGACTTTGGGGGCGATTGCAGCAGTGTGCAAGACCAGCTGCAGGATGTGCAGCATGTGCAGAAGACCGACGGCGCTTTTGCCGCGGTGCTCAGGGACGGATCTCTGGTGACCTGGGGCAGCGCGGCTTGCGGTGGTGGTGGCATGGAAAAAGACTCTGCTGCGCCAAGACCACTCTCCCTCTCCCTCTCTCTCTCCCTCTCCCTCTCCCTCTCCCTCTCTCTCTGTCTCACAGCTCGGGGCCATTAGGTTGCCTCGGCATGGTGATAGCATTTAGCAGCAGCCGTAGCCTCTTCCTGAGGTGCATTTTCGGAACCCTCTAGACTCTAGACCCTTCCCAAAACCCGAGGTCCTAAACCCTGAACCCCGGATTTGCCACGTAGTGAAAAACGTTTAGGGCCTAGGGCGTTGAGGACCGGCGCCCCGGCTTCTTCGACGGAACCGTGAGCTGGGCTGCCTATGCGGCTCGCAGTGTCTTAGGGGGCTGATGGGTGGTTTAGGGGTGGTCTAGGATGGTTTAGGATTGTTGAGGATGGTGTACTTTGGTTTAGGATGGTTTAGGGTGGTTTAGGATGGTGTAGGATGGTTCAACATGGTGTAGGATCGTTTAGGATGGTTTAGGATAGTTTAGGGTTTGGTTTTGGATTTAGGGGCTTAGGGTTTAGGGCGGGGGGGGGGGGGGGGGGTTGGGGGCTTAGGGCTTTAGGATGTTAGGGGTTTAGGGTTCAGGTGTTTAGGGGTTTGGGGTTGGGGGCTTAGGTTAATCATAGTCTAGCAGAATGTATGATATCATACTATGATGTATATATATATATATATGTACATTTATATGTATATTTCATATTTATTCTCTGTTTCACTACATTAATTTCGTTGCATTACATTATATGATATGATATTATGTTATACGGTGTTATATCAGATTATGTTGTGTTATGCTATGTTATATTATATTACACTATAGTATAAATACTTTATATTGTATAAGATAGTCCATTCTCAGCGTGTTGTGGATCACGCTCCGAATGCTCGTGCGGCCCGTGAGTTTTGTGTAAAAGCATGAATAGAGTTTGTACGTAATGTGTGTATATATATATATATGTATATTCACACATACATGTTTGCACATTATTCCAAACATGTATATCTGTATGTATATATATATATAAAATATGTATATATATATATACTATATATATACACATATACATATATATATATATATATATATATATGTGCGTGTGTGTGTGTGTACATGGAGAGAGAAAGAGAGAGAGAGAGAGAGAGAGAGAGAGAGAGAGAGAGAGAGAGAGAGAGAGAGAGAGAGAGAGAGAGAGAGAGAGAGAGAGAGAGAGGAGAGAGAGGGAGGAGAGAGAGAGAGAGAGAGAGTGGTGCTGAGTAGAAGAAAAGGAAGCGAAGAAGAAGAAGAAGAAAGAAGAAGAAGAAGAAGAAGAGGAAGAAGAAGAAGAAGAAGAAGAAGAAGAAGAAGAAGAAGAAGAAGAAGAAGAAGAAGAAGAAGAAGAAGAAGAAGAAGAAGAAGAAGAAGAAGAAGAAGAAGAAGAAGAAGAAGAATAAGAATAATAAGAATAAGAATAATAATAATAAGAAGACGACGAAGAAGAAGAAGAATAAGAAGAAGAAGAAGAATAAGAAGAATGATATTAAGAAGAAGCAGAAGAAGCTTAAGCTTAAGAATATTCGAATAATAATAATAAGAAGAAGAATAAGAATTGTAGTAAGAAGAACAAGAAGAAGAGAGAGCGAGAGAGCGAGAGAGCGCGACAGCGCGAGAGCGAGAGAGCGAGCGAGAGCCAAGAATCCTCACTTCTCAAGTCCCGCTCCCCAGAAGTGACCCTAAACCCTAAATTCTTAAACCCTAAGCCCTAAACCCTAAATTCTTAAACCCGAAGCCCTAAACCCTAAACTCTAAACCCTAAACCTTAAATCCTACCCAACCCTAAAGCCTAAAGCCTAAAGCCTAAAGCCTAAAGCCTAAAGCCTAAAGCCTAAAGCTTAAAGCTTAAAGTTTAAATCCTAAACCCTAAACCCTAAACCCTAAACCCTAAACCCTAAACCCTAAACCCTAAACCCTAAACCCTAAACCCTAAACCCTAAACCCTAAACCCTAAACCCTAAACCCTAAACCCAAACAAAATGGAAACAAAGATGGAAGGCTACAAGCCCTCAAAAGGTCTCAGAGGCAAAGCTGGCGCGCGTCGTCTTCGTCGCAGACTCCTCCTTCGGTGAGCCGTCCATCCTGAGCCACCTGAAGGTGGGTTTAGGGTTTAGGGTTTGGGGTTTAGGGTTTAGGGTTTAGGGTTTAGGGTTTGGGGTTTAGGGTTTAGGGTTCAGGGTTTGGGGTTTAGGGTTTAGGGTTTAGGGTTTGGGGTTTAGGTTTTGGGGTTTAGGGTTTGGGGTTTGGGGTTTAGGGTTTGGGGTTTGGGGTTTGAGGTTAGAGGTTTAGGGTTTGAGGTTTTGGGGTTTGAGGTTTAGGGTTTGGGGTTTGAGGTTTAGGGGTTTAGGGCTTGGGGTTTGGGGTTTAGGGTTCGGGGTCTAGGGTTTGAGGTTTAGGGCTCAGGGATTAGGGGTTGGGTTTAGGGCTTGGGGTTTGGGGTTTGGGGTTCAGGGGTTAGGGTTTGGGGTTTGCAGTTTAGGGTTTAGGGTTTAGGGCATTTTTTCAGAGTTCAGGAGCTAGGAAGTTTTGGAGCCTTTCTGGGTCCGACGCTCAGTGCTCGTTGCTTCAGCTTCAGATCGTAGGGCTAACTTCGAATAGCGGTTTAGGGTTAGGGTTTAGGGTTTAGGGTTTAGGGTTTAGGGTTTAGGGTTTAGGGTTTAGGGTTTAGGGTTTAGGGTTTAGGGTTTAGGGTTTAGGGGTTTATGCTTTCAGGGCATGGTTTGGGGGCTGAGGATCGTGTTGAAAAAGCACAACTAGGTAGGCCCTTGGGACATTTTAAAATTTCCCTTATTTGGGTTTAAGAGGATCATATTCAGGAATATTTTTCAGAGGGCTTTAAGGGCCAACCTAGATAACCCTAAACCCTAAACCCTAAACCCTAAACCGTAAACCCTAAGCCATTTCCGCTCTAAGTGCTTGTGAAACCCAAGAGAGCGCGAGAGATGCCCGGAGAGGCCCGGGGGGGGAAGCCGAACAGTGCAGGGAGCTGGAGAACGAGTGCCCTGAACTTTAAGCCCTAAACCCTAAACCCTAAACCCTAAACCCTAAACCCTACACCGCCTACACCCTAAACCCTAAACCCCAAATTTCTAAACCCGAAACCCTAATCCCTAATCCCTAAACCCCAAACCCCAAACCCCAAACCCTAAACCCTAAACCCTAAACCCTAAACCCTAAACCCCCCCAATGTCCCATTTTACTGGGCCAGGCCCCTATGCCATGCGCCTCACATCTGTCGCCAGGATCGTCCGGAGCGTCTCTCCGTGCTGCTCGGCTCAACCCCCCCAAAGCCCCCAAAGAGCCGCAAAACTGGAAACCCTAAACCCTAAACCCTAAACCCTAAGCCCTAAGCCCTAAGCCCTAAACCCTAAACCCTACACCGCCTACACCCTAAACCCTAAACCCCAAATTTCTAAACCCGAAGCCCTAAACCCTAAACCCCAAACCCCAAACCCCAAACCCTAAACCCTAAACCCTAAACCCTAAATCCTAAACCCTAAACTCTAAACTCTAAACCCTAAACCCTAAACCCTAACTAAACCCTAAGCCCTAAACCCTAAACCCTGAACAAACTCGAAACATTAGTAGACGCACAGCTCGACACTTTAGACCCTGAACCCAAAAAGGGTTGGGTCTGCGCAGCGGTTTTGAATGTATCCAATGGCCTGAATTCTGTGGGTTGAGGGCTTGAGGGCTTCAGGGGCTGTGAGGGTCAAGGGGTTCAGGATGTCGGGTTTCGGGTTTCGGGTGTTAAATAAATAGCAAGTATTGTAACAATAGTAATAAGAGAGTAAGAATAAGAACAAAAATAACAACAACAAGGTTTCCTATGAATCTTATTATTACTCTAATAATTGTCATAATAGTAATAATTATTATTCTTATTTTCTTACCATTATTATTATTATGATTATAACTATTATTCTAATTATTACTATTAGGATTAGTACTTTCATTGTCATTATCATTATCATTATCATTATCATTATCATTATCATTATCATTATCATTATCATTATCATTATCATTATCATTATCATTATCATTATCATTATCATCATCATCATCATCATTATCATTATCATTATCATCATTATTACTATTGTTATGTATTCTTATTATTATCTATTATTATTATGACTCTTCTTCTTATTGCGATTATTAGAATATTGCCATTTGTTCTATCATTTTCCTTCTTACATTGTAGTAATTATTTTGGCTCTCGGCCCCGAGCTCAGGTTCCAGCTGTTCTTAGTTAGTATTATGATTATTATGATTATGATTATTGTTAGTAGTCCTATTATGAATATATTGTTATTCGTTATATCAGCTGTATTCTTACATTGGTGTATTAGTCCTGAGCCCTAAACCCTAAACCCTAAACCCTAAACCCTAAACCCTAAACCCTAAACCCTAAACCCTAAACCCTAAACCCTAAACCCTAAACCCTAAACCCCGAGCTCAGGTTCCAGCTGCAAGACGTGTCGGAGGAATCCGTCCGGCGGATCCTGGAGCGCCCGGGACGTAGTCCGCCTTGAAGCCCCCGAAGAAAACTCCCCTAAGGGTTTAGGGTTTAGGGTTTAGGGTTTAGGGTTTAGGGTTTAGGGTTTCGGGTTAAGGGTTTAGGGTTTAGGGTTTAGGGTTTAGGGTTTCGGGTTAAGGGTTTTGGGTTTAGCAAACCTTAGAGCCAAAAACCCTGAAGCCCCAAGCCTAAACCTTTTAGGGTGGGGGGGCCTTCCTCTTGACAAGCGCTCTTGTGGAACAGGAGCCAGTCAGCCAGCCACCCCAAACCTTGACGCCCTAGCAGAGTTAATTTACAGTTCCAACCCTTGGCTTGTTAAGGTATTAGGGTTTAGGGTTTAGGGTTTAGGGTTTCGGGTTTAAGGCAAAAAAAGTTCAGAAGGGGGGGGGGGGGCAACTTAAACCGTGAGCCCTCAACCCTCCAAACTTTAAACAATAGGTTCTTTTTTCGTTTCCGGTCGGTAAGGCGATGTTTTCTCGAGCATCCCCTGGCCTTCGTTCATAAGCTTATTGGAGGTTTTCTTGCTTTTTAGGGTTTAGGGCTTAGGGCTTAGGATTTAGGGTTTAGGGTTTAGGGTTTAGGGTTTAGGGTTCTTCAGGACCCTAGTTAAGGAGATCGGTTCGTTTCTTCAGCTCAGGATGGAGAGGTTCAGGGTTTAGGGGTTAGGGTTAGTTTAGGGTTTAGGGTTTGAGGTTGCTGTGTTTGAGGTTGATAGGGCAATGGGCATATCGCCCTTGGGGTTACTGGGGCTATCTGGGTTATCAGAGCTCGTAATCGATGATGTCGGCGCGAACCCGGTCGACTCAAGGATCCCTCGACGTCACGTCCGCCTCAGACGGATTTCACACACGCATAGGTTGCAGCTGGCGGTTTCAATCTGCCCGCTTGCTATGCAGTACGCCCACCACTTGCGCAGTGCCTTCCCCAAAGCCCAAAAACCGTAATTCCTTGTAGCAGGGCTGTGCCCCTGAACAGAAAGGTTTAGGTTGTAGGGTTTAGTGTTTAGGAACCCTAAACCTTATACCCCAAACCCTAGATCCTAAACCCTAAACCCGAAACCCTAAACCCCAAAAAGCCCGCCCCAACACGCAAAGACAGGAGCGGCGGCTGACGCCGGACAAGTTGGACCTTTCAGATGCGCGCCCCGGTTGCAGGGCAGAGGTGTGCGTAAGCCCTAAAGCCTGAACCCTGACACCCTTCAGCCCTAAACCCTAAACCCGAAACCCTAAACCCTAAACCCTAAACCCTTAAGCCTAAAACCCAAAGCCTAAAGCCTAAAGCCTAAAGCCTAAAGCCTAAAGCCTAAAGCCTAAAGCCTAAAGCCTAAAGCCTAAAGCCTAAAGCCTAAAGCCTAAAGCCTCCGGCTCAAGCCGCCGGAGCATTGTTCAGGGCTGAAGCGGCGCAGCGTGCCCCGGCGCCAAACCCTAAACCCAATCCCGACCCTAAACCCTACAGCCGAAACCCTAAACCCTACAGCCTAAACCCTAAAGCCTCAGCCCTAAAGCCGAACCCTAACCCCAAAGTAAAGCCTAAACCGAAACCGAAACCCAAACCGAGGACAGCCCAACGACCACAGGCTTAGGGTGGGGTTGGGGGGTCAGGGGGGCAGGAGAAGGAGGGGGGGGGGGGGAAGGGGGGGAGGGGGGGGGTGGGGTGGGGGGTGGAGGGGGGGAGGGGGTGGGGGGTGGGGCGGGGCCTGGCACGGGAAGCTGCCGGGGTACCCCCCTACCCCCCGCTCCCCCCCCCCCCACGTTTTAGGGGGGTAAGGAGGGAAAAAGGGAGGTTTGCACCTCCAGAAACCTATCCAACACGCCGCCAGGGTCGGCGGCGAAAGCCTAAAGCCTAAAGCCTAAACCCGAAACCCGAAACCGTAAACCCTAGATCCTGAGCCCTACAGCCTCAAGCTCGATCACCCTGAGCCCCGAACCCTGAAACCGAGGGCCGCCGTCGGCCTTAGGCCTTGGTGGCTTTGAGCTTCTTATGTCCGGGTTGAGGGTTCGGGTTTAGGGTTTAGGGTTTAGGGTTTAGGGTTTAGGGTTTAGGGTTTAGGGTTTAGGGTTTAGGGTTTAGGGTTTAGGGTTTAGGGTTTAGGGTTTAGGGTTTAGGGTTTAGGGTTTAGGGCTTAGGGTTTGGGGTTTAGGGTTTAGGGTGTAGGGTTCCGGGGGAGAACCAATCTTGGGAGCGGGGGCTTCTGTGAGGAGCCCTGCGCGCTTTGGCCCTGAAACCTGAAGATCCCGACAGCTCTCATGCTCCGCACTGCCCCAGGGTTTAGGGTTTAGGGTTTAGGGTTTAGGGTTTAGGGTTTAGGGTTGTTGTGGGGTTTGGGAGGGCAGTAGGGGTTTGGGGCTTCAGAGTGCAGATCATACCTGGAGCTTCTTCCTTCTCCCTCGAAGGTTTGCAAGAGGCATGCCGACAGAAGCACCGAAATCCTAAGCCTGAAACTCTAAACCCTAAAGCCTAAACCCTAACCCTGCACTCAACCGTGATCCTGCGCCCGAAGTGCATGGCAAAGGTTTAGGGTTTAGGGTTTAGGGTTTAGGGTTTAGGGTTTAGGGTTTAGGGTTTAGGGTTTAGGGTTTAGGGTTTAGGGTTTAGGGTTTAGGGTTTAGGGTTTAGGGTTTAGGGTTTAGGGTTTAGGGGCCCCACAGCCTGAAGTCCCCAAAGGCACCTGAAAGCGATCGGGGGCCGGTACATGGACATCGCAGCCCTCCTTGGCCACATGCGACGCGCGTCCGCATCGGGGGTCACTAAACCCTAAACCCTAAACCCTAAACCCTAAACCCTAAACCCTAAACCCTAAACCCTAAACCCTAAACCCTAAACCCTAAACCCTAAACCCTAAACCCTAAACCCTAAACCCTAAGCCCTAAACCCTAAACCCTAAACCCTAAACCCTCAGCCCTAAACCCTAGGCCCTAAACCCTAAGCCCTAAGCCCTAAACCCTAAGCCCTAAGCCCTGAGCCCTGAGCCCTAAGCCCTAAGCCCTAAGTGATTTACTGTTTAGGGTTTGGGAACTCTTGAACCTCGAGCCTTAGATAAACCCTATAAACCCTATACGGACAAATGGCTCCTTGTGAGGGCTTGGTTGGGTCTTAGTTTAGGGTTTAGGGTTTAGTGTTTAGGGTTTAAGGTCTAGAGGTTTTTAGGGGTTTAGAGTTTAGGGTTTAGGGTTTAAGGGTTTAGGGTCTAGAGGTTTAGGGGTTTAGGGGTTTAAAGCTTAGGGGCTTGCGAAGACGTGTCAGGTTTCTCAAACGCACCACACAGTTTCCTAGGACACCCACTGATGCACTCGTTCCCATGCTTGGGTTCGGATCCCGAGAAAACCCAATGAGCCCAAAAGGAGGGTTTAGGGTTTAGGGTTTAGGGTTTAGAGTTTAGGGTTTAGGGTTTAGGGTTTAGGGTTGGCTATTCTCTGCTGGGCTTACTGGGGCCCTCTCATTTAGGGCCTCAGGAAGGGGGGGTTGGGGGGAGGGTGTTTGGGAGTCCGGGGCCTGGGGGAAGGACCGAGGGCCTTCATGTAGCATCCTGAGTCCATGGAGGGTTTCCTAAGCAAAACCCTAAACCCTAAACCCTAAACCCTGAACCCTAAATCCTGAACCTTGAACCCTGAACCCTAAACCCTCTAAGGTTCAAGGGCTGAGGACTTGTAGGACTTGGGTTTCCTCTGGATGCCCTGAAGCTGTGGGCCCTAGATCCTAAACCCTAAACCCTAAACCCTAAACCCTAAACCCTAAACCCTAAACCCTAAACCCTAAACCCTAAACCCTAAACCCTAAACCCTAAACCCTAAACCCTAAACCCTAAACAGCATCCTTTCTTCGGTTCACGGCTTGAGGCTCGTATGGAGGTGCCCTACGAAGCCCTACATCCTAAACCCCCAGACCCTGAACCCTTTAGGGTTTAGGGTTTCGGGTTTGGGGTTCCCTAAACCCTAAATCCTATGTCCTAAGCCCCAAGCCAGACCCTGAACCCTCAGCGGACGGTGGCTCCAACTAAGATCGATTGGCCAGCCCACTGAATCACGTGGCCGTGTTCAGGGATGGCGAGGAGGCCTGCGACTTGACCTGCAGCCAGGGCAGACGGTGCAGAGTGCTATCGCTGCCGCTGCGAGAATCGGCGGGGGATCTTTGCAAGTCCCGCGCGGGGTTGCCGCGCCACCAAGGGGCCAAGGGTACGTGGTTCGGACGCCGCAGCAAGTGCAAGTACTGGCACTGAAGGAAACCTAGCTGTTCTATGCCGAGGGCCGCGGTTCCGGTTCCTAGCGCGCAACCTCAAGGCAGCGCCAGGCGTCAACTCGAGCAAGTTTTGCCGCTCCATGCCGCCCCAAGATGTCCTGCTTAGCCTCTGCTGCATGGTGTTTATACATGTATATCTACATATATATATATATATACATATATATATATGTTAATATACATATAAATAAATAAAACATAGATAAATAAATAAATAAATATATATATATATATATTTTTTTTTTTTTTTGTTTGTTGCTTTGGGTCTTTGTTTGTTGGTTTTACTCTTCTTCGGCAGTGCCCTAGTTAAGTAAGCCCCAAAAAGCCCCTCAAAGCCGTAACCCTAAAACCCTATGCACCCTGCTACAAAGCCCGAAAGCCGTACAAAAGCCTGCACCCCCACATAAGCCCTAAAGGCCAACACCCTTGAAGCCCCGAAGCCCGAGCCTATAAGCCCTAAACCCTAAACTCCAATTCCCTAAACCCTAAAACCTAAAAACCCTAAACCCTAAACCCTAAACCCTAAACCCTAAACCCTAAACCCTAAACCCTAGACCCCTAAACCCCTAAACCCTAAACCCCTAAACCCCAAACCCCAAACCCACCGAGGCCACGGTGTCGCGGCCGATGAGGCCGTGCGGTGGCTGCTGGAGACAGCCGAGGCCAGGAAGACTCAACAACGGGTTTAGGGTTTGGGGTTTAGGGTTTTGGGTTTAGGGTTTAGGGCTAGGGTTTAGGGCTAGGGTTTAGGGTTTAGGGCTTGGGGCTTAGGATGGTTTAGGGCTTGGGGTTTGGGGTTTTGGTGTTTAGGGAGGGTTTGGAGCTTAGGCTTTAGGGTTTGGGTTTGGGTTTGGGTTTAGGGTTTAGGTTTTGGTGTTCTAGGGTTTTAGGGTGTAGGGTTTGGGGTTTTAGGGTTTAGGGTTTTAGGGTTTAGGGTTTAGGGTGGACAGAAGAGCAAGGGAAGCAGAAAGCTGACAGAATAGCCCTTCCCAGTACAGCCCCAAGCCCTAAACCCTAAACCCTAGCCCTAAAGCCTAAAGCCTTAAGCCCTAAGCCCTAAGCCCTAAGCCCTAAGCCCTAAACCCTAAACCCTAAACCCTAAACCCTAAACCCTACACTCTACACTCAAAACCCTAAACCCTAAACCCTAAACCCTAAACCCTAAACCCTACACTCTAAACCCTAAACCCCAAGCCTCCGCCCCCCCCCCCCCCCCCCCCCGGCCTTTTCCTTCAGGTGACAGTGCGCCGGCTGCTCCTGACGGGTCAGCCGGAGGCCAAGTGGACGCGGCCGTGACTCGGAGGAGATGATTTTGTGTTTGGGTTTGGGGGTTTAGGGTTTAGGGTTTAGGGTTTAGGGTTTTTGGTTTAGGGTTTAGGGTTTAGGGTTTAGGGTTTAGGGCTTAGGGCTTAGGGTTCAGGGTTTAGGCTTTAGGCTGTAGGCTTTAGGGTTTAGGGTTTAGGGTAAGAGTTCAGGTTTAAGGGGACCCTCAACCCTAAACCCTAAACCCTCAACCCTCAACCCTGGACTCTACACTCTGAACCTCTAAGGGCTTACCGCTGTCGGAGGGCCGTGAAGTTTCGAGTTCGGGTTTTAGGCTTTACCAGAATGTTTGGAGGTTGGCCTCCTTGTCGGCCTATGTTCCTAGTGTTCCTGGTTGTCTTTTCTCTCGCGGTTTATAGAGTCCCAGAGGGGTTGGGGATTTGGGTCCCTAGACCCCGACCCTAAACCCACAAAACTTGAATGCTGGCGAGTCCTCTCAGCCGATAGTTTACTTTACGGGGCACTCATCGTGGTCGGATGGATCAGGAGCTAGCTGCCCTGGCTGCAGTCGCAAAAAACACGATGCAACGAACACGAGCTCAATGTCATCGAGACCGCAGAAATCATTCACCCTAACCCCCGCAGTAAACCCTAAACCCCAAACCCCAAACCCCAAACCCCAAACCCCAAACCCCAAACCCCAAACCCCAAACCCTAAACCCTAAACCCTAAACCCTAAACCCTAAACCTTAAACCCTAAACGCTTAGGGTTTAGGGTTGTTCAGTAGGGTGGTAGTCTTGCGCCGCCCTCAGGAGTAGGCATGGCGAATCCGCGCATTGTCCCTGCCCGTTCAGATCCCCTGCGGGACCCCCCAACCTTGAGCCCTACCCTAAGCCCTAAGCCCTAAACCCTAAACCCTAAACCCTAAACCCTAAACCCTAAACCCTAAACCCTAAACCCTAAACCCTAATACCCGAACCCTCCAACCTTGAGACCCTCAACCCAACCAAAAACTCCTGAGCCCTCGCGGCCTCAACCCCAAGACCCTTAAGCTTAAACCCTAAAACTTGAAACGAACCCCAACCCTAAAAGCCTAAACCTTGAACACCAAACCCTTAACCCTGAGACCCGTAAACTTTAATCCCCAAATGCTCAACCCCAAGCCCTGAACCCTTAACTCTAAAGCCTTAACACTAAACCCTTAAACCCAAAACCCCTAAACCCCCAAGCCCTAAACCCCTAAGCCCTAAACCCCTAAACCCTAAACCCTTAAACCCTAAACCCTGAACCACCCCTTGAACCGCCTTGAGCTGCAGGCAGCTGTGGCGGGCCGTGCGGCACCTCACGGAGGGCACCGGGCTCGCGGTGCCTTACGATGCCCCTGGGCTGCTTGGGGTTTAGGGTTTAGGGTTTAGGCTCAAAGGTCAGAGTTGGAGACTGGCGGCGATCTCAGGTGATCCTCTGGAATGTCTTCCGCGGAGACGAGGGCGCCCTGCGATCCATGAAGGAGTCGAACCTCATTGCTGTGAACCCAAGGACAAGGGGAGGGTTTAGGGTTTAGGGTTTAGAGTTTAGGGTTTAGGGTTTAGGGTTTAGGGTTTAGGGTGATTTCGAGGTTTGCATCCTTGTCATCCTTGAGTCTTCTCTGTGTCTGTGTGCGTTCAGGTGGGGGAGGGTTGGGGGCAGGGCGGTTAGGGTTAAGGGTTCGGGGTCGCGTGTCTAGGGGTTTAGGGTTTAGGGTTTAGGGTTTAGGGGTTAGTGCTTCTTGCAGCCTCCAGTTTGCGGGCTCTTTCGGTGCTGGTAGTGCCTTTTCGGATAAAAAGGAGGGCCTCAAGAAGGGACCCAAAGGTAGAGAACCACCCACATCATGCAGGCCTGTCGCTTCCACGAGACTTTGCCGCAGAGTTCACATATCCCAAACCAGCCAAGCTTCGCAAGACCCAACCTTCCCCAGCCTGTTAGGGTTAAAACCCTACCCCCTAACCCTAAGCTCTAAGCCATGCCCTAAACCCTTCTCCCTTCTCCCTAAACCCTAAACTGCAGGGCTGTCACGAAAAAAGTGTTTTGTTTGTTTCCCTCCCCTCCTTGAATCCGCTTGGGAGGAAGAGCGAGAACTCGTGGACCTTGCGCTACGAGGTTGAGGCCGGATCTCCGCTGTATGCCGAGGCGGGCAGAGGGCCAAGGGCCCAGGTTTAGAGTTTAGGGTTTAGGGTCTAGGGTTAAACATTAAGCACCAAACCCTCAAAACCCCCCAACTCACCCAAACTCTTCATTTGATGAAGGTTTTTGTTGTGTTTGAATTGTTTAGGCTTAGGGTTTCAAGCCCCAAAACCCTAGACGCCTCAACAGCCCCAATAACCCTAAACCTGAAGACCTAAACCCTAAACCCTAAACCCTAAACCCTCAACCCTAAACCGACCTATACGACCTTCAGTTCCTCCCAGGCACCTCAAGCAACTGTCGAAGTCGAAGGCCTTAGCCCTCAACTGCCGAAGCCTGCAGCCCTAAACCCTAAACCCTAAACCCTAAACCCTAAACCCTAAACCCTAAACCCTAAACCCTAAACCCTAAACCCTAAACCCTAAACCCTAAAACCTAAACACTAAACCCTAAACCCTAAACCCTAAACCCTAAACCCTAAACCCTAAACCCTAAACCCTAAACCCTAAACCCTAAACCCTAAACCCTGAACCCTAAACCCTAAACCCTGAACTCCACCTAACCCTAAACCCTGGACCCTGAACCCTGACCCTCAGCCAAGTCGCAGGTCTTCCGGCGCTTGGTGCAGAATGAGGGCCTTGCTGCGGTTCTCGACCTGGAGGTGCCCTAAAACCGTAAATCCCAAACCCTAAACCCTAAACCCTAAACCCTAAACCCTAAACCCTAAACCCTAAACCCTAAACCCTAAACCCTAAACCCTTAGCTGCCCTAAGCCCTAAAACCCTAAAGCCTCAGCTGCCCTAAGACCCCAAAACTTTGAAACTCTAAAACTCTAAAACCCTAAACCCTAAAACCCTGAAGGCCTCAACGCTCTAAAGCCTGCACCCTCAAACCTTGAAGCCCTCAACGCCCTAGAAGCCCTCAACACCCTATACCCTAAACCCTAAAACCCTAAAGCCCCCAACGCCCCAAACCCCCAACCCTAAAGCCAAAACCCTAAACCCCAAACCCTAAACCCCCACCTCTAAGCCCTAAACCCTTCGCTGCCCTGAGCCCTAAAACCCCATCAAGATGGACGTGTGGTGTCTACCAGATCAGATGTGGGTGTCAAATGGCTGTGAAGATGTGCAGGAAGCGTACCAGTTTTCAACTGGTTTGTGGCCGGCTTTCTTCTTGTGCAAGGACTCGACGGTTGCAGAAACCGGGATGATTTCTGCCCGTGATCACTGGGCGAATCCACAGCGTCCGGGAAATAACTTGTTGAAGAGGCGCGCAGGTGCTGACTTGTGCCAGGCGCGCATCTTGGTGTCTTCCTCAAAAGCACGGGCAACCACCCCTACCCCACCACATCCACAGGGAACAGCGCAAGGGTGGACCACACAGTTTTGGAGAGGAAGTGTTGTTTCGCTGCTAGTTTCAGCTACAGGGTAGGCACCATAGGCGCGGGTCGAAGACCGGGAAGACGACGCCTACATGGGGCTGAGCAGTGTGCTGCGTTAGCTTGGCACTTTCTCAACTACGCAGTTCACTCCAGTGCACCAATGCCCCCACTTTTCCCTATGCATATCTCGTTCTCCACAGGTTGGCTGCTAACCGCCCCATTTGGAGTCGAATGTCAGAGTTGCCAACGTGCAGGTCTCTACTAAACTCAGTTCGCAGTTCTCTCACAGTGAGTTCTCGTCTTTCTGTACTGATCTGCAAGTGGTGGAGTTGCATAGGGCCGCCCCAAAAAATGAAGCCCCAAAACCCTCAAGCCTTAGCTGCCCTAAGACCCTAAAACCCTAAACCCTATACCCTAAACCCCAAGCCCTAAACCCTAAACCCTAAACCCTAAACCCTAAACCCTAAACCCTAAACCCTGCACCCCCTAAACCCTAAGCCCCAAACTCTAATCCCGAAACCCTAAACCCTAAAACCCTAAAACCCTCAATTTTGCCACAAATCTCCTCCAAGCTCTCAGAAGTCCCCCAAAGTCTAGCAGCCCTGGGTTCGGTCTGGGGTTTAGGGTTTAGGGTTTAGGGTTTAGGGTTTAGGGTTTAGGGTTTAGGGTTTGGGGTTTAGGGTTTAGGGTTTAGGGGGTGCAGGGTTTAGGGTTTAGGGTTTAGGGTTTCAGGTTTCGGGTTTCGGGGTTTAGGGTTTACGGTTTCGGGTGGGGGGGGTTTGGGGGTTTAGGGTTTGGGGTTCCAAGTGCCCCAAACCTATAGGGACCATATAAGGTATATTCCTAAGGGGTTATATATAGTGGAAGAAGATTAAGGGTTCCTTCTAGGGGTCCCTCCTATACCCCTTATTCCGAACCTGAAACAGGAACTGTACCCAAGCCGGCTCCTGCGAGGTCGCGAAGGAGGACGTGGCGCGCGAGCAGAAGTCGATGGATGCCTACGAGGTTCCCCAGCTCGAAACCCGAAAACCTACAACCCTAAACCCTAAACCTTGAACCCTAAACCCTAAAGGCAAGGTAATTTTTTTACTGGGCAAGGTTGTTTTTTTTACTGGGCAAGGTCATTTTTTACTGGGCAAGGTCTTTTTTACTGGGCAAGGTCGTTCGGTCCAAAAAGCGACCTTGCCCAGTAAAAAATGCCCTTGCCCAGCAAAAATATGACCTTGCCCAGTAAGAAAATGACCTTGCCCAATAACCCTTTTACTGAGCAATGTTATTCTTTCTACTGGGCAAGGTTGTTTTTTTGTTTACTGGGCAAGGTCATTTTATTTACTGGGCAAGGCCATTTTTTGTTACTGGGCAAGGTCATTATTTTACTGGGCAAGATCATTTTTTTTACTGGGCAAGGTCATTTTTCTACTGGGCAAGGTCATGTGTTTACTGGGCAAGGTCATTTGTTTTCTGGGCAGGGTCATTTTTTACTGGGCAAGGTCGTTCCATAAGTGAAATATTTCTTAATGTTGTGGGATTCCTTGGGCGGGTGGGCATTTTTTGCTGGAGCAGTTTAGTTTCTTGACTAGTGAATGCTTGGACTTGACATGCTGAACCCTAAACCCTAAACCCTATACCTACAACCCTAAGCCCTGCATACAACCTGCAACCCTAACCTTGGATCCTAAACCCTGAAGCCTGAACCCCAGTTTCTAGTTCAAGTTTGAGTCGGGCTCCTACACCCGAAAGTAGCCCTGTTCTACCCGATGGACTGCCTTGTTCAGGTTTGTTGCACGTGTGTCGTGTATGTAGGTTTCGATGTAGGTAAAATGTCATGAAATCTCACAAAGTTCAGTACTCAGCTGGCTTCAATGATGCATGTTTAAAACGCTTGTGCGATTGACACACTAACTGCGGTTGTTCTAAGCATTGTAGCCCACGCTAGAACCGTATTTCCTAGGCAGGCCCTCGGGATACTTGATATCTTCCCCTATTGGGTTTTAAGAGGATAATATTCCGGAACATCTTCAAGAGGGGCTTACGAGACCCTAATCCCTAAACCCTACACCCTGAACCCTCAACCCAAAACCCTCAACCCTTAGAGGGCTTTAAGGGCCAACCCCGTTTCCAGGCGGAGCTGGTGAAAATTGAAGAGATCCTCGACGCTCGCCGAGACTGGTGGTGGATCCGGCCAAGTACCGACGAGCAGCTGGAGAAGAGGTGGAGAAGGGTTTAGTATTTAGGGTTCAGGGTTTAGGATTTAGGATTTCGGATTTAGGATTTAGGGTTAGGCTTCAGGGTTGTTGGGTAAATGGTAAGGCCGCTTCATATGCTGTGGGAGCGGTTTTGCTAAGTGTTGAAGTAGGGAAGAGTCGTCGCACGCGCTTCTAGACTTGCCCGCAGCACAGGACTTGGTCGAGCCATGGTATGTTGACACTGTGATGATCTCTTACGATCAGACATGGTTCTCATAGTATAGCAGAAGAAAAACAGTGAGAAAAACAAAAGCATAGCATAGCAGAAGAATAATAGTGATAATAATGAAAGCATGAGGGCTTCAACGGCTAGGGCTGATCGGGTTTGGAGACCAACCCCCCCCCCCCCCCACCCAGACTCGCCAGTCCTTGTTTTGGGTTGGAAGTTTGCGGATGTATTCATTTATTGACTGAATATATATGTCTACATATATTAGTATAATACATATATATATATATATATCCATGTATATATATATATATGATACTGCCATTATATATATATATATGTATAGGTATCACAAGTGCATGAGTAAACAAGTCAACCGATGATTATGTTTGATGATCATGATTCGGTCTAGGGTCCAGGATGTCACATGTTTCGGGACGCAAACCCTAAACCCTAAACCCTAAACCCTAAACCCTAAACCCTAAACCCTAAACCCTGAACCCTAAACCCTAAACCCTAAAACCTAAACCCGAAACCCTAAACCCTAAACCCTAAATCCGAAATCCTAAATCCTAAACCCTAAACCCTAAACGCTAAACCCTACAGGCGCACGCAGCTTGTGGACCTGATCATGGAGCAGCACAAGAAGCTGGAGAAGTACCACAAAGCGCGCCGCAAGGCAGGGCTTTCTACCACTCAAGGACAGTCCTAAACCCTAAGCCCTAAACCCTAAACCCTAAACCCTAAACCCTCAACCCTAAACCCTAAACCCTAAACCCTAAGCCCTAAACCCTAAACCCTAAACCCTAAACCCTAAGCCCTAAGCCCTAAACCCTAAACCGCCCTCAGGCCATGTCTATCCTCGGGCATCACGCGGACCGCTTCCACGAGCGGGCAAAGCGGAAGAAGTCGTAGGAGGTTTAGGTTTAGGGTTTAGGGTTTAGGGTTTAGGGTTAGAGTTTCTTCCCTGGCTGGTGGCGCGGCATTCGCATGCGCAAGCCAGGGAGCGCTTTACATGGAGGAATGCGCGAGCTCCCGTGGGAAGACCAGCCTTAAGCCCTTAACCCTAAGCCGGAAGCAGCACCCCAAGCATAGGATGCTCACCCCCTCCATACGGCTCACGTAGCTTTTCAGAAGAACGAGGCGAAGCTTACGCCTTTCAAGTAGGGTGTGAGGCTTGGGGTTTGGGGTTTGGGGGGGTGTTCTAGGGTTTTAGGGTTTAGTGCTTCGTGTTTAGGGTTCCGAGTTTAAACCGCACATCTACCTGCATGGCATTTCCATGGGACGCCGCAGAGCTGGACCGGGTGCCTGGTGCCAGAGTTGACTCGTTGAAGCCCGGCGGCGTACGTAAAGGTTCTTGCGCAACGTTTGTGCACGGGCCTCCAGGATAAACCCTAAAGCCCGAACCCGAGCCCTGAACCCTAAACCCTTGAAGCCGAAACTCTTGAAACCCTTATCAACTCTAAACCCACAGGGTTCAGGGTTTAGGGTTCAGGGTTTTTGGGGTTTGGGGTTTAGGGTTTAGGGTTTAGGGTCCTGAGGGGGTCAGGATGCAAGATGTTCAGAGCTGATGTATGGAAGGCGCAAGAGCCGCTCGTCTTGCAGAGCTGCCGGTGGGCATTTTTGCTGTAGGCAGCCGAGCGCATAAACCTTAATTCCTGAACCCTAAACCCTAAACCCTAAACCCTTAACCCTAAACCCTAAACCCTAAAAACCCTAAACCCTAAACCCTAAACCAAAAACCCAAAACCCAAGCCCGAAGCCCTTAAAACCCTTAAGTCCTAGACACCCTACAAGCCAGCGCGGATAGTTTCACGACACGTACGGCCCTGAGAGCCCTGATGCACCCTAAACCCTAAACCCTAAACCCTAAACCCTAAACCCTAAACCCTAAACCCTAAACCCTAAACCCTAAACCCTAAACCCTAAACCCTAAACCCTAAACCGTTTGGACTAGCTACGTAGGGTTCGTACGCTGGGTTGTGGGGATGATTTTAAATTACTAAGTCCAAAGGGCTTCCAAGTAGTCCCCAAACAGAGGCCTGCCACGCTCCTTCGGGTTCAGGGTCTTAGGGTTTAAGGTTTAGGGTTTAGGTTTAGGGCTTCGGACCCGAACCTTAAACCCTAAACAGTTTCGGGTTTAGGGTCTAGGGTGTAGGGTTAGGGTTTAGGGTTTAGGGCTTAGGGTTTAGGGTTTAGGGTTTAGGGTTTAGGGTTTAGGGTTTCGGGTTTAGGGTTTAGGGTTTAGGGTTTTCAGCTCTTCGAGCTCGCGCTCCGGACGCTCTTTTTTGGGCTTGGCTGCTTGCGGCCTCGTGGCCTCCATTGGGCCTCGCAAGAGGTTTGCGGCCTGGTGGTACCCTTTTGCCTGAGCGGTTCCCTTAGAAATGTGGCTTGAACCCCAAAAAGGTTTAGGGTTTAGGGTTTAGGGTTTAGGGTTCAGGGTTTAGGGTAATCCGGGTAATCTTGGTACTGGGCCACCAAGAACAGGCATCTAGGGTTTCGGGTTTAGGGCCCAGAGGTTCTCGAAGAGCACCGACGGACCACGGCTGAGGGTGCTCAGGGTGAGATAAGGGGGTAAGGGTTGAGGGTTTAGGGTTTAGGGTTTAGGGTTTAGGGTTTGGGGTTTAGGGTTTAGGGTTAACGTTTAGTCCTCGAAGGACTTGGAGAATTGGGGGTCATGGGTTATGGGTTTTTGGAAGGGCTATGGCCCTTCGGTGACCTAGGGCGTTTTTTAGGGTTTAGGGTTTAGAGTTTGGGTTTAGGGTTGAGCACTCAGGGATTTTTGTGTGTTCTCTCTCCTGGGGTTTTCGGTTTAGGGCTTCGGGGTTCAGTGTTTGGTGTTTAGGGTTTCAGGGTGCTTCTTGGTGCTTCTTGGTGCTTCTTTGAATGGGCTTGAAAGTTGAGGGTTCCTTCAGGGTTTCTTTTAGGGTTTAAGGTTAAGGGTTTCTTTTCGGGCTTAAGGATGATGGTTCCTTGAGGGCTTAAGGATTAATTAGGGTTCCTTCAGAGCTTAGGGATTAACTAGGGTTCCTTTAGGGCTTGAGGATTAGGGTTCCTTAAGGATGAGGGATCCTTTCGGGCCTGAGGATTAGGGCTTCTTGAGAATTAAGGTTCCTATAGGGTTTAAGTTTAAGGTCGAGGCTTCCACCCTAAACCCTAAATCTAAACCCTAAGCCCTAAACCCTAGACCCTGAACCCTAAACCCTAAACCCTAAACCCTAAACCCTAAACCCTAAGCCCTAAACCCTAAATAGAGCCGAGCATCCCAAGACACACCCTCCGCACCCTCAGCCCTCATTGCCGGCTGGGCATCGAATCGTTTCGGCGAAGAGAAGACTGCTGGCCCCCGCGCCTAAGCCCATAAAACCCTAAGCCTTCAAAACGCTAAACCCTAGACCCGAACCCCAAACCCTAAACCCTAAACTCTAAACCCTAAACCCTGTATAAACCCTAAACCCTAAACCCTAACCCTAAACCCTAACCCTAAACCCTAGACCCCAAGCCCTAAACCCTAAACCCCCCTAAAGCCTCACGACCCTACAGTCCCACAAGCCCAGAGTGGAACAAAGCCATGAAGGCTACAGGAAGGCCCTCCAGGCCCAAAGCCCTGCAAGCATGCCGCCCTGAAGCCCTACATCATGGGTTGCCCGAAGTAGCCACGGTTTAGGGTTCAGGGTCTAGGGTTTAGGGTTTAGGGCAAAATCCGAATGTACGGAGAAAGCTCGAAGCGCTACTGAGCCCTACGCGGCTGAGCCCTAAAGCCCTGAACCCTAAACCCCGGAAAACCCTCAACACCATAAACCCTATAACCCGAAAAGCCCGAAATCCTGAACCCCCTGAGCTGCAGTTTCCGTAGCCATGTGAGGTCGTACAACCCTAAAACCTAAACCCTAAAACCTAAAACCCTAAACCCTAAACCCTAAACCCTAAACCCTAAACCCTAAACCCTAAACCCTAAACCCTAAACCGAAGCTCCATGTTGAGGTCGTACAACCTGCGGTCTGCAACCGGAGCCAAGGCAGAGAGTGGGGTTCTCAAGGGTTTAGGGCTCGAGGGCATTGCGCCTAACCCCCTAAACCCTAAACCCTAAACCCTATGCGGAGCTGCAGCTGGTATTGTAGAAAGGAGTTGGTGTTGGGAGTTGAAAGGGTCAATGTACCCGGAAATTCTTTTGGCTCAAGAACTTGGGCATGCGCCCTGAAGAAAGAAGTGTGTGTTGGTTTTGGGTTGGTTTGTTGGTTGGTCCGGGGGATAAAGGGCTTCTGTTGGGGTTGACTGTTTTGTTCCCTGTCCTCCTTCGGTTGCCCCCCGTAGGTTATGAGCCCAAATTAGGCTTCCTGCGGAATTGGTAAAGATTTTTCGTTTGTTTAACGCCATGGACATGATGCGGCGTCGCTCTGAGCCTGGACTGTCGCCAACGGCCAATGAAGCCGAAGGAAATCGCGGTGATGGGGGTGATGAACGACAACAAATGGTACAAGCGCTGACAGATGGTAGGGAGGTTGCAATGATACAACCAACGCCTCAGGTGGAAAACGAAGTGGTTCCGGTTCAAGCAGCAAATCCTTTCTGGAGCGAGCGGGCTCAAGAAGAAATGAGACTTAGGCAATCAAGGCCGGCAAGTCTTCCTGCGAGCGGAGGGGATAGAAGTGGTGAAGGTACGAGGAGGCCGCCTTCGCTGCAAGATCTTTTGGGTCAGGAACCTGCACCTGTTGAGAGACCATCGTCAGGCTTAATGGGCCAGATGGAACGAGGTACTATTGGTGGAGTGCAAGCAGACGAAGAGCTCATTCCTGATGTTGGTGGTGAAGAACAAAGTGAAGATATGGCGGTGGTAAAGCGTGCGCTGAAAGAGTTGCTTGTGCAAACAAAGGAGCTGGGGAACAGGTTGCATCGGGTGGAGGAGAAAAGCTATACCTCTGCTGCATCTGGGTCAGCTTCGAGAGCACGGAGCACTGGAGTGGTGGACGCAAACACTGCATATCCTCTAGGAATGACTCCAGAGAAGCAGTACCTGCCAGGACAAGTTTTCTACACGGATGGTATGGGTGGTTTTTGGACTGTGTTGCCTGATGGGACATGGCTGCCTATTGAGGGCTACGACCTGCCAAAGGGTTGTGATCTTCAATCCTTGCCTGGGTCCAGGAAGGGGGATGCTCAAGTGGAGGATGAAAAAGAAGTGCCAATGATGCATGTAGCTGAAGGGAAGAAACCCTCCAGATTGCCTCCATTGAATTACCCCACGGGAGGTCCTGCAAGTGGTGGATATGCAAGTGGACCACCTGGTTTAACACATGTTCCGATTACTTCCTTGCCATCAGGTGCTGATGGTTCTGCCGCACCTGTGGGGAACCAGCCCGGTTTTGTTTCAGCTCGGGAAACTGCAACGCAAGAGAACTCAGCAGGATCGGGTGGATATACAATGGTGGATGATGTTCCGTATCGGTGGAAAATGGTCGCTGGGAAGTTGGAATTAGAAAAGGTTCCGCTCACAGCTGTTCCGCCTGGTATAGGACATGGACTGCCTCAAGGGCCTGGTGGTAGGGTCAGTTTACCTCCTGGAGCAGTGGTGCCACGTGGTATGCCAATCATTGGTGATAGTTCTGGAACCGAACGTCCGGAGGCTCTTGGGAAGCATGTGATGAGCCTTCCAACTTTGGCAGACTACACACCAAGCAATCCGACGGCACTGGGTGATTGGATCGCAATGATCGAACCAATGTTGTCTTCGCTGACAGATACAGGAAGAGTGTGGTGGCAATGCGTCTACTCAAAGGCATATCAAGCGTATGCCAAATGGTTGAGTGTTTCTCCGCTGGAAAGGTTGGGCATCAAGGCTGAGCTGGAAGGGCTCAAGGTGGTTCAAACTGTGCATGTTTTGTTGGAGCAGAGAGCGGTGTCTTTGCTGCTACAGG